ACGAATTCCTGGCACTGGGAGCGGCTCATCCCAGGCTGGAACGTGGCGTCCAGGTATCCATAGATGTAGGAGCTGCCTGAGCCCCCCACAGCGAAGGGCTGGCGCAGGAGGAGTCCTCCCATTGGCACCACATACACCTGGGGGGCACAAGGGGGGGCTGTAGGGGTGCCGTGGGGCAAAGAAAGGGGCTGTGGGGCAGAAAGAGGGGACTGTAGGGAAAAGACAGGGTTATGGGGCAGAAATGGGGGGCCTGTAGGGCAGAGGTAAGTGCTGTGGGGCAAAGACGGGGATACCAGGAGGCAGAAGGAGACGTGGGGCAAAGTGAGACGTTCCCACACAGAAATGGGGACACTCGAGCAGAAAAAGGGACATTCTGAGACAGAGGGTGCACTCTAGGGTGGAAAAAAGGACATGCTCGGGCAGAAAGGGGGATGCTGCAGGAAAAGGGGACACCAGGACTGAAGGAAACCCACCTGTCCCCCCCGCCGCGGGTCCCAGCCAGCGACAATGATGCCGGCGCTGAGCTCCTCACGGTACCGGTAGCAGCTCTGCTGGAAGAGGCGGGCGGCCGTGCGCACCCGCGGCGGCTCCTCCAGCTCCACACTGTGGGGCAGGGCCAGGTGTGGGGCTGGAGGTTTCCCCGACAGCCCCCCCGGCCCTTCCCCACGCCCACCGGGGGTACCTGTGGAAGGCCAGCTGATAGGCCACGGCATCGGCCACCGCCTGTGTGTCAGCTGCCGAGCCCGAGCGGCAGCAGAAGATTCGGTCATGGACGGGGGTCAGCTTGTCTGTCACCCGGTTGGCTATGTAGGACCTGCGGGACAGCGCGGTGATGTCACTGTGACAGCCGGCCGGCTGCTGGAGGTGACACCACAGTGACAGGCGCTGGGTGACAGCACTGTGATGTCACTGTAACAACCTCCCGAGGTGACACTGCAAGAGGAGCAAGGAGCTGGAGGTGCCGAGAGACCCCCAGAAAGCAGGTGCTGGTCCCAAAAAGATGCTGGGATTTCTTTGGGCACAAAGTGCCAGGTTTTGCAGGCATGGGACTTAGAAATGTGGGATTTGCTGTGGTAATGACAAAAAAAAAACCAAACTGGGGAGGAGATCCCAGAAAGCCGGGGATAACTCCCGGGGAACGCTGAGAAATGGATTTTACAGGATTATCAGGATGGAATCAGTAAAAATAATTCAGGTTTTGTTCAAAGATCTGAGCCACTGGAAAGAATTTTTCCATATTATAACTCAAGATTATAACATTGTAACAAAAGCAGTGGAAAAGAAGTGGAAAGTGTCCCGTACTTTACAGATGAATCAAGAATTATGTGACTTAGAAGGATGCAGGAAATCGTCTGGATTGGGTGATTTTAACACGGGATGTGAATCCAATTTTTATTGCCACATTGGGGAATGTTCTGTGGGATTGAAAGCTCCCCCCCAAAAGAGGAAAAACTATTCAATCGTTTTGAACGATTAATAAAAATGAGATCCGTGGAGAGAAATCCAAAGATTGGGACCACGAGCACAAACTTTAACCTGAGAATGTTTTTGCAGGAATTATTCCACAAAAATAACGGCTTCTTGCATGACTTTGGTGATGGAAAATACCTGTCAGGTGTGACACTGATACCTAGGGACACCTGCCCACAGCTTTGGGGGTGGCCTCCCAGTGACATCATGGTGACACCATGACAGGAGTGACGTGGTCCCGGCACCCCGAGAGGTCACTGATGACGTCACGGCGCGTGGTGCTCACCCGGTGGTGGTTCGGGAGTCGGCCCCTATGACGACGCCTCCATCGAACTCCACGGCCATGATGGTGGTCTGGGGGAAGGAGAGGGCGGGGGTGCGTTGAGACTCCCCCACCCCACAGAAACCCCCTTCCCACAGCAGACCTCGCCCCACACAGCCCCCCCCCCGCCACACAGAAATCACTCCGTGCCCCGAAGACGTCGTCTTTTCATAGAACTCCTGGCCTCACAGCAACTCCCCTCCTCTCCAGAGAAATCACTCCGTGCCCATTAGTAGCTCCTCTCTCCAGGGGGGTCCCTCTGAGCCCATATTCCCCTTACCGCACTCTTCAGGGAACTCTCTGCTCCCCCAGCTCCTTCTGCCCCAAACCCAGCCCCAACTCCACCCTCAGCCGCACACCGGGGACCCCCTGCCCCGCAGCCCACTTCCTCCACCCTATGGCGGGTTCTCCTGGTGCATAATACCACCACCTCCTGTAAGCCCATCGCGAGTTCACAGCCCTCCAAGTGGGTCCCCCCGCTGCCCCTCGCCCCACTCACGCCAGTGCTGACGGGCTCCGCCGTCCATTCCCGGTGTGGCCCGGCGGGGCCTGACCCGGCCTGCGGCTCCCACACCGTCACCGCCGCCATCTTCCCCCGCGCTTTACGGCAGCGTGACCGGCACGGCGGGGTTGGGTCGATGCTTTACGGTAGTGTGGCAGGAAGGAGCGGGGCGGCAGCTGTGCTTTACGGCAGCGTGGCGTCCGCTGTGGTGACGGTACTCTTCCTGGGAAATGAATATCCTAAGTTTCTCCCACGGCCCGGAATTCCCACGCCCGCCCCTCCTCGCGCCCCCATCCCGTCCGCTGGCCCACGGTCTGATGAGGAAGGGGGAGGGTGCTGCTGGGGCGTGGTTGCGGGGGTTACCTGGGCAGGGAGCTGCTGGTGGGCACAGGCCGAAGGCGGATTTCGGGGGTGGGGGGGGGCGGTCTCTCAAGGAAGGATGGTTGGAACATCTCGCAGGGGTTGGGGGAGCACCCGGAGGCACCTGGGCATGGAACATAGCTCCAAGGAAATACCAAGGGAAAAAAAAGTTGTGATGGGGGGCAGCATCTGAGCAGATGGAGCAGCGCGTGGGGTTGCAGGGGAAATCTTTCTCCTTTGCCCTTTAGATTTCTTCTTGTCAGTCCCTCCCGAGTTATCCCAGTCCCTCTGGGATATGCCCTCAGTCCCTTCCCAGTACCTCCAGAAAAAAAGGAGTTACGAGGAAAATAAGATGTTCAAATTGAGAGGAAAAATTCCTTTTCTGTTATTGTCTCTGTTTAGATTAGGGAGGATTCTTCTTCACCTGCAATTTTAAAGGTATTAATTGAAGGAAAAGCTGCCTTTTCCACGATGTTAGGGACATCAGGTGGCAGAGAATCCCATTTTCCATTTTTTTTTCAGAAAAAAAAAAAAACAACCCAGAAAAAAGCCAGGCACAGGGCCCCTGGACACGAAAGCTGGACCTATTCCCCGTCAAACAAAACTCACCCCCCCCCCTCGTTTCCTGATGTTAGTTTGAAGGAAGCATTTGGCACGCCAAAGGCAGCCAGGGTTCTAAGTGGCAGCAGCTTCGGTCTGGGAGAAATCCTGATCCATTCACAATTTTATCAGGCAGAAGCCCAGTCCCTGGAACATGGGCCATGACACAGTGACCTATTTCCCTGTGAAAGGAAACCCCCTGATTACAGTTTACTGAGGGCAGTTTGGAGGAGGCAGTTGGCACTCAAACAGCAGATTGGTTTCTAAGTGCTGGCAGGTTGGGTGTAGGAGATTTCCTGCCTTATTAGGAGAAAATAATTTTAAGTTGAGGGAAAACATTTACGTAACTTTCTGTGTTTAAATTGAGGGGGAATCTCCTTCCCCTGCGATTTTAATGGTATCAATTGATACGCTTTTTCCATGATGTCAGGGATATCAACTGACAGGGAGTCCCCATTTTCCGTTCTTTTCCAGTTCAAATGGAAGAAGAGAACCTTGACAATGTTCTTTTATGGGTTTGAATTCGGGGTAACTCCTGCATTTTCACCATCCTACTGTTTAAATTGATGGGGAAGCCCGGTTGTCCCTCCTTTTTAAGGGATTTACGTATCTTACAGCACATGAGCTGTAAGACCTCACTCACAGAAATGCCATTTAACTTTGCCTCTTGCTAACCCGGATGCCAATCATAATAACAGCCACAGCCTTAGACTTGGGATGAAGCTGAACAGTCAAGGACCCAGGCACGCTTTGGAGAGGATGAGTAGCTGACTTGTGGGGGTTTGGCCCACATAACACTAAACCTGTGCATTGATGTTGGTTTTTCTTTATTGTAGCTGACTAAGAGAGAGCAGCCCAGTGACAGCAGGAACTTCCCAGAGGGCGAGGTCACCGTCCTTCATGCCCGACGTGGATTCACATCCCTGGACGTCCAAGAGATAAGTGCAGGGCCACGATCCACAGAGGGATGAAAGGGGGGTGTGGGGTCTGGACTTGTCAGGAGGGATTTTTGAGCCAGCTTTGGAGACAGGGGTGTCCAAGAAGTGGCTCCTTAGGCCACATAAAGGGAAAGTCTCAATTTGATCACAATGCTGAGGTGCGCTGGGCAGACAAGTCCCGGTGGGTACCGTGTCACTTGTCTATTGTGCCTTGTGTCTTTTGGGCGTCTTGTATTGTATGTCTTTTGCCTTAGCCCTTTGAGGGGCATATCAGAAACCCTGAGGTCATTCTTGACATCTCTGATCTCCGCATTCCTCGGCCTGGCACCATTGGACCTTTGACTCGGGAGCTCGGACAGGCATCAGAATCTCATCTCTCTTTAGAAGCATCCAGTCTGATGTCTTTTAAGGTCTTGTTCTGAGCTGTAACGACAGCAGTGATCCATTACAGAGGATTCGGACTTGGAAGAAGGCAAAGACAGGCAGAAGATTCTTGGGCATCCAGCTTTGCTGTTCTCGGAATAAATAATTCTGTTAGCATATTCCTTCAGCCTCGTCGGCTCACCGTCAGTCTCCCCTCGGTCATCTCATTTTGCATCCTTACACCGGGAGTACTGGGACAACATTTCTGGGAATGCAGGCCTGGATAGAGAGTGCCTTGTACTGGGAATACTGGGACAGCATTTCTGGGAATGCAGGCCCAGATAGAGAGTGACATATACTGGGAACACTGGGAATACTCGAAGTCCGGGGACATGCCTTGTGGGCAGAGAGGGGAACTGCAGGCACCCCACGAGCTGGTGCCCTGGCAGCGCTGCAAGGAGAGTGGGTAAGGAGAGCGTGCAAGGAGAGTGCAAGGTCTGTGCAATGAGTGATTGATTGCTCAGCGATCGATTGCTAATGCCTGCCGATCGATTAGATCAGCAATTGCTTGAACACGCCTGCCGATCGATTAGCTCATGACTGCCGATCGATTGAGAAATGGGGAAAAATGGGGAAAAAAACAGTGAGAAATGGGGGGGAAAAATCAGTGAGAAATGGGGAAAAATCGGGAAAAAATCCACGAAAATTGGGGGAAAAAATCCATGAAAAATTGGGGAAAAATCAGTGAGAAATGGGGAAAAAAACCCATGTAAAACAGGCAAACAATCCATGGGAAATGGAGGAAACACAGCGAACTGTTGTCACTCGTGCTGGGGTGGCCAAAACTGGAGGAAAAAATCAGAGAGAAATGGGGAAAAATGGGGAAAAATCCATGAAAAATGGGGGAAAGAATCAGTGAGAAGTGGGGAAAAATGGGGAAAAAATCACTGAGAAATGGGGGAAAAATCACAGAGAAATGGGGGAAAAAATCAGCGAGAAATGTGGGGAAAAATCATGGTGCAATGGGGACAAAATCAATGAGAAATGGGGGAAAAATCAGTGAGAAATGGGGGGGAAAATGCATGAAAAATGGGGGGAAATATCAGTGAGAAAAGGGGGGAAAATCAGTGAGAAATGGGAAAAAAAAAATCAATGAGAAATGGGGGAAAAAATCATTGAGAAATGCCAGAAA